ATCCCGGGACTCCAGGATCATGACCTGAGCCGAAGGCAGTCGCTTAACCAACTGAGCCACCCAGGCGCCCCTTATCTATTTATTTTAAAGATTTTATTTATTTATTTGAGAGAGGGAGAGTGGGGATGGGGAGAAGCAGATGGAGAGAGACCAGCAGACTCCATGCTGAGCTCAGAGCCCACGTGGGGCTCAATCTCACGACCCTGAGACCATGACCTGAGCTGAAATCAGAAGTTGGACGCTTAACCAACCGAGCCACACAGGTGCCCCATACTGTGTCTATTTAAAACAACTTGCAAAAACAAGCAAATACCTTGCAAACTCAACAGGTGATTTTTTTTAGTGTGTGGTTAAAAAGTAGGATGAAGTATTGTCTTTAAAAATTAAATGGCCTGGAAAATGGAAAAATATCTGGTGCAAGGGCCCTTTCAAAAAAGTCATTGCACTATCCTTGGGTGATTCTGTGACTTCATCATTGTATTCTACTCACATCAAATTTAGGTAGAATATTATCCTCAGGTACCAGTGATGTCTCCTTTTTAAGGATCCATTTCAGGGACCAGGCTGCTCAGGTAACCTCAGACCATAGGGCAGCTGTCAGAGCCCGGAGACCCTTCTATGTACCCAACCTGGTCAGATCATATATAGTCCTGGTAACTATGACCCCTTTCAGATACAGCATCAAAACCTACCTCTTAAAAACTGTTAGTACAGTCAGGCCGGAGCCAAATTCTTCAACTTGCTAATTCAAATAGAGTAGCATAGACCCATCAACTGTGGTCTTGCCAAGATTATGCAGACTGGGACTATCCCACATGTATTAATTACATTTGTGGTGCAAAATCATGGTCCTTTGCCTCTCAGCTCAGTTACCCCATGAAGATAAAAGCAATTGCCTATGCGCCCAGGGAAGCTGCGGGGAGAAAAATGAGGTAACTTTCACAAGGCATCCTAAAAATGTACAAAACAATTTGCTACTTAAAGTACAATTTTTAATTTGCACTACTAGCTTATTACTATTGCTTAAATATATGTAATACTGAGAGTTTTAGAAAATAATTTAAATATAAAATTGCCCCTAGAAAAAGAATCCATCATTAAATAGTGTTTCCTCAGTTTGAACAAAATAAAATGACTTAACTCATAGGGAACATTTTTAGTGAAGGCACTTTTAAAAAATTTCCTCAAACCTAAACAACCATGCAGAAATCAGATAAACATTTTTTAAAAAATTTAAGCAGCTTATAAAAGTTTGGAGGTCAGAATTTTGGGGAAATGATTAAAGTACCCTAAATGCAAGGTCAGTTTCTTTTGTTTCCTGGAGGAAACATCTTGGAACATATATATATATACATATATATATATATATTCGTTAAGAAACACAAATATTTGTCATCATTGTTATTTGTTTTCAGGAAGACATTTTAATCTTATTACATTTCTGAGACTTTTTAATTTGGATCAGTAATATAGGTTTGATTAGGGTTCCCAGCCTGATTATAGGTCACCAGTCTATTCTATGATTGAAATCTAGGTATGCACCATCTCAGTTACCTTAAGTTGCCCATTAAGGCATTCCTAAACGTTTTGCTCCATCCTGTTGTATAAACATTAGATGTGATTAAGTTATGGTAAGATACTTATGTAAGACTAACCCAGGGATGCTCTCAAAAAAATGCAGTTGTGCCCTAATGTTCAAAATGAAATAATTCAGAAACGTCCCAACCTGTAGGGTAAGAAACGAATGGAGTATCTTGACGATACAATTTAGTCACAAATTCAGGGGCATTTTAAAGTGCCCAAGAGTCGAAGTCTGGCTTTTCCTGAATTTCAGGAACAAAAGAAGCGTTCGCAAGCAGAGAGGGATTTAACTGCTTGCTCTCCCCCTTTCCACCCCCCAGGTAAACCAAATCAAGGAAGATGAGCGCCGACAGGCACGCCTTGCTCCTTTTCTTTCCCTTCATGGTGAGCGTTTGGGGAAGGAAAGACTGTGGTCATTCTTCGGTAAATCAGTATCCTACGATTGAGAAAGGCCCAGCCCAGGGTCCTCGCAGCAGGCGTGAAATTCGACCCGTTCGAAGGCGATCGACCCCAGAGAGAAAAGCTTCTTCTCAAGCAGGGCGGGGGAGAAACCGCACACACAAGTAGTACGATTTGTCCCTTATCAGCGTCTTAGGGGAAGGGTGGAGAAAAGGGAAACAGAAACAGACCAGTCGCCCAGGATCCCGCCCGAGCGGCTTTTAAACTGCGTTTCTACAACCTCTCGCACGGTGCAGCGGCTAATGGAACCCGCGCGAGGGCTCCTACCAATCACTGCCCGGCTTCCTCCCACCGCGGACCAATGGCGGCGCGCGTTCTTGGGGCATGGGCGAAACAGGCTGCTCTCTCCTTGCTTGTGTAGTGTGTGGGCTGGGGTTGGTGGAGGCTCCTATCTTGGCCGCACTTGGTCCGCACTTGTGCTTGGGGGGCTTTTGTGTCCGGCTTTTGCTTTGCTTTGTGTGTGCGAGTTTTTGCTTTGCTCCGCGGCGCTCCTCCTGGGCGGGAGCCGTGAGGCTCGAAGGCGGCAGCGCGGTCCCCCCCCCACCCCGGGCAAAGAGCGAGCGCGCCGGCGTGAGCTGCGGGTGTGAGGTCTGCGGGGAAGGGGATTCGCCGCGGAGATGCCGGAGTTCCTCGAAGACCCCTCGGTCCTGACGAAAGAGAAGTTGAAGAGTGAGTTGGTCGCCAACAATGTGACGCTCCCGATCGGGGAGCAGCGCAAAGACGTATACGTGCAGCTCTACCTGCAGCACCTCACGGCGCGCAACCGGCCGCCGCTCGCCGCCGGCGCCAACAGCAAGGGGCCCCCGGACTTCTCCAGCGACGAGGAGCGCGAGCCCACCCCGGTCCTCGGCTCCGGGGCCGCCGTCCCAGGCCGCAGCCGGGCCGCAGTCGGCAGGGTAAGGACGTCCGGCCGGGGCCACAAAGGCGGGCGGTTGGCGGTTGTCGCCCCTACCCCTCCCGCCTCGCGCGCGGTCGCAGCCCTCCCTCCTTGGCGCCCCCTCGGGCCTCCTCGGCGGCGGGGCTGTCCCCGCGCCGGACCGGGAGGCTGGCCTGTGGGTCTGCGGACGCAGGATTCTGCTCCTTCGCCGCGGGCTTGCAGGCTCTGGAGAGGGAGGCGGCTGGAGGGGAGAGTCGCGAAGTTGGGGCCGCAGACTAGCGGTTGTGTGTCTTGAAGGTGTGAAGTTGGCGTTTGCGGTTCTGTGGCTCGCGGATAGCTCGGTGTTCCTTGACCGTCGGGAGTGGGTATTTCGACGGGGACTTCCGTGCCCGATTCGAAAGCCTTTTGAGGAGGGTCAGCCTAAAACTGCAGTAGGTTACGTTCGAGCGTTTTCCCGCTTTATTAACTGAAATGACTAGTAATCGAGTCTCAGAGCGCTCCCTGGAGGGCAATTTGTGACATACTAATTTCTAACCAAAATTTGAAATAAAGAAATTCCCGCCTTTTTATGGTTTTGCATATGGAGGGCTTTTTGAACCGTTTGTTTTTCTTGTTTAAGTTTTCCAGCAACAAGCCATCTTTTGGCGGGGCAATGTTCTAATTTAAAGTGAGCCCTTAAAAATAACATCTTTAAGCGGTTATCCTATACGCTCAAATAATTGGAAATTCTAGTTACAGAGGGCTTGGGTTTGGGTTTTTTTTTTTTCCCCTTTTTGGTAAATTTTGCGTAAGAAAAGGAGAGATTTCGGAACTCATTTCTTGACATTCTGACGTATCAATGATTGCAATTTGGAATATCTAATCCTAGTTAAATCTCAGATTGGTTCTACCAGATGCGTATTCTGTTTGAGAATAGTTTAGTTTTTGTTCTGTGGGTTTTTATATGCTGTTTTGTTGGCGTGAATTGCCTACTTCTCAGATTTCAAATCATTGCAGACTGTAGTTAAAACTAGTGATTGGATGTAATATACGTTGCTTGGTAAGACTTTGTGGAGTTTAGAGTTGTTGAGTTTTGGTAACTCAGAAGTACTGCGTCTTTCAAAGTTGTGTTGTTAGTTTTTAAGAAATCTATCTGATGTGTTTTTCTGGACTACCAGGTGGAAATGAAAGAAGGATGTAATGTCGATTTAACTGAAAATCTTAGCCTGAGCTTTAGAGAAATTCAAAATCTTAATGTCTTAAGTCCGTGCCTGGCAAATAGGAGTGTCAAAAATTTGTGTGTTTAAATACCACTGCACTTTATTGTTTCTGATGTCTTTGTGGATTTGAAGAAAGCCAATTTACTTCTCCATAATAAAGAGAAATTTAAGAGATTTCTTAAAATAAAGAGAAAGTAAAGCATATCCGTTATCTGCTTTTTCCCAACCCCTCTGGAAAAAATATTCAAACGATTTTAGTAAAGATTTTTGGTGGGAATGAAATCTTTTCCATTTAAATCAGCACACTTAAAAAGAGAGAGTCTTCTGTAGAACCCTATATTGTCTTCTGTGTAAATGTATTCTTGAGCCATGAAACTACTTGGTTGTGTTTATAATAGGATTGCTCATTCTTACTTTTATGATTCGTTTCCAACAGAAACCTCCACCTTGGTTTTGATGTTTTTCCTTCAGAAAATTTTTTTAAAAGAGTATGTCCCAACTAATATAACATTGTATGTTAACTATACTTCAATTTTAAAAAAAAGTATGTCACAATCTACTCTGTGTTCTTGGAGGTGTAAAAATTGAAGTTCAGTTATCCAACATTTTTGAATTTCTACCAAGTGCTGGTAACTCCTGGAGATTGATCTCTGCACACCCTGCCCACTACCATGATTATATAATTTGTTGGATTTTTTTGTATGTTAATTGATTGTGTTTGTTACACATTTCATCTCAAATTTCCCATGTTATCAGAGTTGGTCAGCACCATGCAAATAAGTTCAGGTGAAAGGAATTAATATTTTAAGAGAATCTGCAATGTCCAGTGGCATGTTAAGCCCTTTATATCTCATTTAATGTTTTAATCCATATTAAGAAAAACTATTTGATAGCCATAGATTCAAGTCTTACCTGCCTTGAATTTTTAAAACTCAAATGCCAGGCTCAATGGTGTCAACAATTTGAAAAAATTAATAGTGGTAGTTGGGCGGTAGCATCATTTTCTGTTTTAAAGCACATTAAGTAAAAGTGACTTATAATTGAATTTAGGAATATGATAGACTTTGTCAGGCATAGGAAAAATAATCTTGAATTTACAGGAAAAGAGCCTTAGGGCATTTATAATAATCGATAAAATTATTCTCCATGGCACATTACTCTTATGTGTACAATATTTTATGTTGTGGCTATTGTTAGCACCATATGTAAAATAATGTCACATTTCTTAAAGAATATAATCTAGCAGAAAGTCAAATGATGTTTGAGAGTTGTAGATAAGACAGATTTTTTTAAGTGGTACATTTTTAGCATTTTAAAACAAACATTACTGTGGATTGGCCAAGAACAGAGCATATACCTTCTATTTAAACATGGGTTTATGAGGAGTATATTTCATTAAAGCAGAAACTTTCCATTTAGCCATGGCCACGGTCTCTTAGATTCATTTGGTGTGATATGACAAACGTATTTGCATGTTCAAAATTTGGTTTTGGTTTTCAGTTCTCTTGTTTCTAAGCTTTTATTTAATGCATCTTGATGACACCAGTGTTTTTGGTGTGAAATTAGCTAGATTGTTGACACAAAAATAAAGTCACAAAGTTGGCGATCTGCTTTACATCATTCCAAGGTACGAAGAGCAGGTATAGCTGTTTGGAATCCAATGGAGCATAGCATTCTTGAATGGTCTGATCTAGTGGATCATGAATTTTTAACAGGAAATATTTAAAGACATGCAACAGAACAGTAAAAAGTATGTTAGCGATGGTGAGTTAAATCATAAATTGACTGCCATACTCTACAGTAAGGTGTTAAGTGTAGAGACTTTTGAATCAGAGTGTTCTACAGTAGGGATTAAAATTCCGAGTCTTCCGCTTATTCGGATGACTTTGAACAATGAACATTGTCTATCAGATGCCCAGTTTTCATCTGGAAAATGAGAATAATCTAGTAACTACTAGTAGCTACTTAATTGAGGATTATTAAAGGTTGCATTTGTTAAGGTGTCTAGTGCTCAGCAGTTGATACCTATTATGACATGTGATTTCTGAATTTTTTTGTGTTTATTTAGCTCCAGAGCAATACAATGTTACCATAATATTTTTTTCAGAATTGGATGAGGTAAGTTTTGAAAGTGATACAGGCATAAAGTCTGTTCAAATGTTACTGTATTGCTGGAGTTAGCTCTGCAACTTTGGTCTTCAGTTTCCTCTCCTAAAATGGAGTTATTAGTATCTGTCTCATAGGATTTTTAGGATTCTGTTAAGTTAATATATGTAGGAAGTTATCCAGAACACAACTTGATATATACTAAGTGCTCAGTAGAATCTATTTATATTAATTATATTAATTAATAAGATGTTGTACTGCATCTTGCTACTAGTGGTGGAAATTTAAAAATAAGAGTAGCTGGGGGCGCTTGGCTGGCTCAGTCAGTAGAGCATGCAACTCAGAGCTCAGGGTTGTGAGTTTAAGCCCTACGTTGGTCGTGGACCCTACTTAAAGTTTTAAAAAGTAATAAATAATAGTAGCTCATAGGTGATATTATCAAAGAACTGTTGGATTTTAAAGTTGAAAAAGACATTAGAGATCATCTTGTAGTTGGGAAGAAACTGGAGAGCAAACAGTGCCTGGCACATAGTAGGTACCTGGTATTTTTTGACCGAATGAAACTAAGATCCTTTGATTTACTCAAAGGGATGAAACTCTGGATGCAGAAATCAGTACAAGTAATGGTTCCTTTTTCCTGATTGAAACTGCTGGCTTGATAAGTATTGGTAAGACACTACCTGTCTCCCAGTTTGTATTCCTATTAAATTTAATATTTCATAAAAATAGCATTAAATTTCTGGAATTTTTCTCCCTGCAAATTAAAGATAAAAATCAGGTAACTTGTTAGGAATTTCTGCTTTTTTTTTTCATTTTTCATTAAATCTTTTTATTGTTATGTTAATCACCATACATTATATCATTAGTTTTTGATGTGGTGTCCCATGATTCATTATTTGCGTATAACACCCAGTGCTCCCCGCAGAACGTGCCCTCTTTAATACCCATCACCAGGCTAACCCATCCCCCCACCCCTCTAGAACCCTCAGTTTGTTATTCAGAGTCCATCGTCTCTCATGGTTCGTCTCCCCCTCTGATTTCCCCCCCTTCATTCTTCCCCTCCTGCTATCTTCTTTTTTTTTTTCTTAACATATAGTGCATTATTTGTTTCAGAGGTACAGGTCTGTGATTCAACAGTCTTGCACAATTCACAGCACTCACCATAGCACATACCCTCCCCAATGTCTATCACCCAGCCACCCCATCCCTCCCACCCCACCACCACTCCAGCAACCCTCAGTTTGTTTCCTGAGATTAAGAAGTCGTCATATCAGTGAGGTCATATGATACTTGTCTTTCTCTGATTGACATTTCACTGAGGATAACACCCTCCAGTTCCATCCACGTCGGTTGCAAATGGCAAGATCTCATTCCTTTTGATGGCTGAATTCCTGCTTTTTTTGACTTAAGCTAGTTTATTGGCCTCTTAAGATTTCTTTGTACAGCTGTAATCTTTCATTAAGTTTTTTTTTAAGATTTTATTTATTTATTTGACAGAGAGAGACACAGCAAGAGAGGGAACACAAGCAGGGGGAGTGGGAGAGGGAGAAGCAGGCTTCCCACTGAGCAGGGAGCCCTATGTGGGGCTCGATCCCAGGACCCTGGGATCATGACCTGAGCCGAAGGCAGACGCTTAATGACTGAGCCACCCAGGCACCCTCTTTCATTAAGTTTTAAGAAAATATAAGACTGTTGGGTTCCGCTTTGAGTTGATAAGACTTTTTTTTTTGATAAGCCTTTGTTATTTCTTTTTTAAAATATTATTTATTTGAGAGAGAGAGAGCAGGGATGGGCAGAGGGAGAGCATCTGAAGCAGACAATCTGAGTGGGGAGCCAGGGCTGGGCTCCATCCCACAACCCTTGAGATCATAACCTGAGCCGAAATCAAGAGTCAGACAGATGCTTAACTCACTGAGGCACCCAGGCACCCCAAGCCTTTTGTTATTTCTTAATAAGAAATGGGTTTTTAAAAATTAATGACTTATTTCTTCCTCCCTAGATGGCACTTTCATTCACTCAACAAAACATCTGTCAGATACCTACTCTTGTGTCAGGCAGTCTTTTTTTTATTTTAGATGCTTGGGATACAATATGAATATGACAGTGCCTCTTCTTTCTGCTACTATCTTAAATGCTGCATCCAAAACACCTGAGATACACGTTAAAATACAGATTCTCAGGCCCAAGATTAGGACTCAGACTGGGGTAAGACTTTTTAAAATAGGGGTTAACTTTTCCAAAAGTTTTGAAGTTCTGATAACCAGACTTAGGGACTATTGCTCAAGGAATTCACCATCTGGAGAAGAAAAAGTATGTTTACAAATAGGTGGAATGTGGTGAGTGCCAAAGAAAGAGATTTCTTGAAAACCTCAGGCTGTTGTAAGAAACTAAAATTCTTGGATGTTTTCTTGATAATAAAATTTGAAAATTCTTAGGGTGGGAGGGATTATCTACCAGTAATCTGTACTTGATTGATTTTCTTTTATTTAAAGTATTTATGTTATACAGGGGAGTTTTTCTTTCCAACCTTTTGGAGAATTCAAGTAGGTCATTAACACAGGATTTGGTCTATTTGATTAAAAAAGAAGTTTCTTCTCTGAAGAATTCAAGGCTATGCTATATAGAACTCTTAGACCCTTGGTAACTATTTTGACATTAATGTGTAAGTTGCTTAAAGATTTGAGCCTGATCCTTTTTCAGTGCAATATGTGTATTAAAGTCTTCTGAAAGTACCCTCACTAACTTCCATGGCCATTTTTTAGTTGTATTAAAGATTTCTCTTGAATTGATGTCATTGTTCTTATTAGCAGTTATCTTTAAAAAACAATTTCTCATAATCTTGCGTTATATAAAATATTTCAAATTTTTACTTGACTAAAAAATAGAAATTCTAACACATGGCCAAATCATGTCTGATATTTCTTTCCCCCCCCCTCAGAATCATTGAAAGTAAGCAGTCCATACAACTATGGTTTTCACCATTTTGCATAAAATATTTCTAGGATTCAGTATCGACTCATTTGCCTTAAATGGCAGTTTGGGCCTAAATTGACTTTGATATTTGTGGCCATTATTTAAACAGCCATTTTTTTGTTCAGTTCTCTGATGCTTTCTGGGGTTACTGAGGCATTTTGTAAGGCTATCTGCCACATCCCTAGAAGGTACCCATACTTCTGCTTTCTTCTCTTGCTTAGCCTTGGAAGTTTATATAGTTTAGATAGTTTTTCCAGTAAATACTGCCCATTGCTTAAGTTATTTTTTTAAAAATTCCTTTGAGATTTCTCTCAAAGCTTGTTCCATGTTCTTTAACCTTTCCTAAGAAAACGGCCACATAGGACTAAGTGTGGTGACAAAGCTGTGTCGAGGTGATAGCCATAAAGTTTGACTTCTTTCATGGGTCAAAAACTGGCCACTAAAGTCACTGTATTCATTTGGGCTTCTTAAATTCTGATATGCTTGTTTAAGGAAATCATTTTTAAATATAACTTATATCTTTATGGTATAGTCTTAAACTTACATAGAATAATTTAAACTTTTAAGGATTTTTAAAAGAGGTCAGTAGTAAATCGTATTTCTGAATGTCTGGGTGAAAATGTTTAATCCCACCCTGTTTACTCTTGAATTTTTTATGCCATCACCTCTTCTTTAGATAGGCTAGCCAAAACTGACCATCTTAATGGTAATACCTTTAAAATATGAGTTATTTGTTATAATATCTTCAAATAATGAGTTGCTTTTAATTTAATTAAATTGCTAAGGCCTAATAAAGCTATAAATCGACGAGGGTGAGTTTACGTGTTTATTGTATACAGTCTTATATAGTAGGTCAACATTTTTTAACTGGAAGTTATAACTGGATTTTGTTAACAGAAAGCCACCAAGAAAACTGATAAACCCAGACTAGAAGATAAAGATGATCTAGATGTAACAGAGCTCACTAATGAAGAACTTCTGGATCAGCTTGTGAAATACGGAGTGAATCCTGGTCCTATTGTGGGTAAGTTGGTAAAATTTCCTTTTCTGTGAGTGCTCCACATTGTTTTCTAGTCTAGCAGAGTTTGGGTTCTAAGGAACAGTGTATCATTAATTATTTATATGACCCGGACACAGTTTCCTTAACTATATATGAGGAAAATGAGAGAAATGAATTTAGATAATCTCCAAGATTATCTCTGTTGTTGAAATTGTTTCATATGGTGCTCATGTCACAACTACCTGGTGAGACATAGGGATCTTACATGACAAGTGAGGAAAATCTGAGGTGACATAGTTGGCCAAATTCATCCAAGTCAGTAAATTGGTGACATAATATAACTCAAGTTAATCACTTCATAGCATAGTACCCATTTTCAGTTATCATTAAAAGTACCGTTTTTAAAGTCTTGTTTTGATTGGAAATCAAGAATGATCCCTTAAACTAAAAGAAGAAAACTTGGTACTAAATACACTGGATTTCTATCATTTGGTTACTGTCGGTGATTTTTGCCTTAATTTTGGAGGGTCTTGACAGTAACCTCAAGATGAGAAACGTCTGTTTTGGTCTTCTAAGTTATGTAAAATTTTGAACACTGGACAAATCATAAGAGACTCAACCATAGGAAACAAACTGAGGGTTGCTGGAAGAGAGGGGGTGGGGGATGGGGTAACTGGGTGAGAGGCATTGAGGAGGGCACGTAATATAATGAGCACTGGGTGTTTATACGCAACTGATGAATCACTGTTAACTCTACCTCTGAAACTAATAATACACTATATGTTAATTGAATTTAAATAAAATAAAATTTTTAAAAATTTGAACACTGGAGATTTCGGATTTTTTTTTCCTATAGGTGAAGTTGTAAACAAAAATTTAGAATGTTGTCTTTCGTTTTATTTAGCACACTTCTTCCAAATAGCTGGTAATAAGCCTATGAATATAATTACCAACACACATTTTTTTTAAAAAATTTTTATTGTTATGTTAATCACCATACATTACATCATTAGTTTTTGATGTAGTGTTCCATGATTCATTGCTTGTGCATAACACCCAGTGCTCCACGCAGAATGTGCCCTCTTTAATACCCATCACCAGGCTAACCCATCCCCCTGCCCCCTCCCCCCTAGAACCCTCAGTTTGTTTTTCAGAGTCCATCGTCTCTCATGGTTCGTCTCCCCCTCCGACTTACTCCCCTTTGTTCTTCCCCTCCTGCTATCATCTTTTTTTTTTTCTTAACATATAGTACATTATTTGTTTCAGAAGTACAGATCTGTGATTCAACAGTCTTGCACAATTCACAGCGCTCACCATAGCACATACCCTCCCCAATGTCTATCACCCAGCCACCCCATCCCTCCCACCCCCCACCACTCCAGCAACCCTCAGTTTGTTTCCTGAGATTAAGAATTCCTCATATCAGTGAGGTCATACGATATATGTCTTTCTCTGATTGACTTATTTCGCTCAGCATAACACCCTCCAGTTCCATCCATGTCGTTGCAAATGGCAAGATCTCATTCCTTTTGATGGCTGCATAATATTCCATTGTGTATATATACCACATCTTCTTTATCCATTCATCTGTCGATGGACATCTTGGCTCTTTCCACAGTTTGGCTATTGTGGACACCAACACACATTTGATACCCTTTCTAATTTTTCATTTAAAATTCCAAAAGGGAGATGCTGCAAAAATGTATATTATATATTAATATATATTAAGTTACATGTTGGCATACCAGCAGTTCATTTTTTCCCAGCTTTTTTGAGGTATAATTGACAAGTTATATATATTTAGTGTGTATGACTTGATGTTTTTGTATTATATATTGTGAACTGATCACTGTGATCAAGCCAATTAATATATCCATCACTTCACAGTTTTATTTTGTGTATGAATGTGTGATGAGAGAGCACTTAAGGTCTACTTTTGCAGATTTCAAGTATATTAACTATAGGCCATTATATATGTTAGATTTCCAGAACTTACTCATCTTGCAGAAATTTTGTACCCTTTGACCAACATCTTCCATTTCCCCCTCCCTAGCTGTTCATCTTACAACTACTTATATAACATTTTGAGATGTGTTGTTTCTAAAAAATATATATTTCTTATCATTTTATTCATCTTATAGAAACCAGGGAGGTATACAGCTAGTCTAAAATAGAAAATAAAAGCTATTTTTGATGTTTTTTTTTAAAGATTTTATTTATTTGTTTGACACAGAGAGAGAGACAGCAAGAGAGGGAACACAAGCAGGGGGAGTGGGAGAGGGAGAAGCAGGCCTCCCGCCGAGCAGGGAGCCCAATACAGGGCTCAGTCCTAGGACCCTGGGATCATGACCTGAGCCGAAGGCAGACGCTTAACCAACTGATCGACCCAGCCACCCTGAAAATAAAAGCAATCTTTGGCTTTAAATTGTCATTCATGCTGAAATGTGTTAAAAATGTGTTTATAATCCATTTTACTTTGTTATCTAATTGGTATGTAATTTCTGCTTGTGGCACACATTTTCCATAAAAGGTCATTTTAATCACAAACTAGTTTTATCTAAATGTGATTTAACACCTTAAATTTATACAGATTTTTTTTTTAAGATTGTATTTATTTGAGAGAGAGAGCACGAGCGGGTAGTACAGGGAGAGGGAGAAGCAGGCTCTCCACTGAGCAGGGAGCCTGATGTGGGGCTCAACCCCAGGCTCCCAGGATCATGACCCAAGCCAGAGGCAGACACCCAACCCACTGAGCTACCCAGGTGCCCCCAAAATTTATACAATGTTATATGAAAATCAACTAAAAAAATGATTTATATGACTCTTCCCATACCTGTGTGGCTCTTTTTAGGCATATTAAACTCTTGAGAGTTGTGGGGTTTTAATCATAGTATTCAGAGGAATACAGTCTGTTTATAAAAATGACTTTTTCTACAAGGGAAATACTATTACATAGTACTGGGAAAAAATACAGTCCAAGACTTTTCAGTCAAAAATACCTGGTCATACATGGCTCTTTAGTAGCTGATCTGTAGTAAGATTTATATCAATCTACTATGTATGCCAGGTTACTAAAAGAAACATTGTTGTAATCATGTATTTAAATCTCAGAAAAACACCTATTTTAGAAAAGAATCTTTTATATAGTTTTTAAAGCACTTAAATGTAGAAGAGGAAAGAGTGAATGTAACATTTCAATGTTGCTGAAGACAATGAGCAGGATCTTAAATAAGACAATACAAATGCTAAAGCAAGTTCTGCCTTAATACAGGAACAACCAGGAAGCTGTATGAGAAAAAACTGTTGAAACTGAGGGAACAGGGAGCAGAGTCAAGATCATCTACTCCTCTGCCAACAATTTCTTCATCAGCAGAAAATACAAGACAGAATGGAAGTAATGACTCTGACAGATACAGTGACAACGAGGAAGGTAAAATTTTAAATGATGTTAGTCAAATATATGTAATTTTTTTTCAGACTCATAAGATACAGTAACCATGAAGAAAAAATTTTAAATATTACCAAGTTATATGTAATTTTTGTTCATATCATCAGTAATCCTCCAAGTAATTTGATTTAAATACCTTTTGTTGAGAATTCTAAGAAACAGAAATGTACAAATGTCTGATTTTTTTTTTTTTTGTCACCTAAAATTGCCAGGTACCTTTATCTTTTTTGCTTCAAATTTCATTTTTCTAAAAGAATAAAATATTAAAAATAAACATGAAGTTTCCCCACTTACCCTTTCCAAGTATTATTAACACAGAAGCAACCACCATCATTAATTTGGTGCTAATCTTTCCAATCCATTTTTAAATACTTTTTTTTGTGTGTGTGTGGGCTTGAATTTATGACCCTGAGATCAACACCTGAGCTGAGATCAAGAGTCGGACACTTAACTGACTGAGCCACCCAGGCGCCTCTAAATACTTTTTCATATGCATCTAAAACATAACATTATTTTGAACTTTAAAAAAACTATATAAATATCATGCCAAATCTTATCACTTGCTTTTCTTTATTCTGTTATCCTTTTGAGACCTTATCCTACTGATAGATTACATGTGTCCAGTTTATTATAATTAATATATAGTGGTAGTATTTATAATATGGCATATATTCTCTGTTTTCTATTTCTATTTAAATTTATAGTTTTGGTAGGTAATGTGATTTCAAGGCAGCTATGAAACAAATATTTTGACATATTTTTAGTAGACTATTTTAAGAAAATTTGACCATAATATTTAAGTATTTTTTGAAACTAGTACATGAATTTAATGACCTTTCTGTAATAAGAACAACTTGATATTTATAAAGTTCTAATTCATATGACTTGTCAGTTTCATGATTATTTAATTTGAACCAAATTGCTTATATCTTCGTAAGCACTGCCTGCCAGGGCACAGTGTGTCGAATTGGTTGTTCAGAATATGAAATATAGTCTTTTCCTTCAACAGCACTATGTTAGCAAGGAGGCAAAGAATAAAATCAACTTGAACACAAGTAATGCTTAAACTTCCTGCCTCTTTTGCCTCTACAGGAAAGAAGAAAGAACACAAGAAAGTGAAGTCCACTAGGGATTTTGTTCCTTTTTCTGAACTTCCAACTACTCCCTCTGGTGGATTTTTTCAGGGTGTTTCTTTTCCTGAAATCTCCACCCGTCCTCCTTTGGGCAGGACTGAACTACAGGCAGCTAAGAAAGTTCATACTTCTAAGGGAGACCCACCTAGGGAACCTCTTATTGCCACAACCTTGCCTGGCAGGGAACAGTTGCAGAAGTTAGCCTCTGGAGGGAATTTGTTTACTTCCTCCAAGTCTAGCCATGATAGATGTGTAGAGAAAAGTTCTTCGGCATCTTCTCAGCATGAACTCGCTGCCATGTTGGTCTCTGCTGCAGCTTCTCCTTCACTGATTAAAGAAACCACCACTACTTGCTATAAAGATACAGTAGAAAATATTTATCATGGAGAGAAAAGTGGAATTCAACCATTGTGTACTGAGAGGTCCCGTGTTTCAGATCAGTCAGTTCTCTCCAGTGAAAGGAAAGCACTAGAAGAGTCTGAGAGATCACAAGTAATTTCTCCACCACTTGCTCAGGCAATCAGAGATTATGTCAATTCTTTGTTGGTCCGGGGTGGGGTAGGTAGTTTGCCTGGGACTTCAAACTCTACACCCCCACTGGATATAGAAAACAGATGGAAGAGAATTGATCGATCTGATTATCAAGACACTGAATCCCTGTCTCCTCCACGAAAATTCCCTAGGCTCAGTGAAAAGACAGTAGAGGAAAAGGATTCAGGTTCCTTTGTGACATTTCAAAATACACCTGGATCTGAACTGATGTCATCTTTTGCCAAAACTGTTGTCTCTCACTCACTCACTACCTTAGGCATAGAAATGTCTAACCCATCACAACATGAGAAAATAGATGCCCCAGAACTATCTTTTCCCTTCCATGAATCTATTTTAAAGGTAATTGAAGAGGAGTGGCAGCAAATTGACAGGCAACTGCCTTCGTTGGCATGCAAGTATCCAATTTCCTCCAGAGAGGCAACACAGATGTTATCAGTTCCGAAAGTAGATGATGAAATACTGGAGTTTATTTCTGAAGCCACTCCACCAGTAGGTATTCAGGCAGCTTCCACGGAGTCCTGTGATAAACAGTTAGACTTAGTACTTTGTAGAACATACGAAGCTGCAGCATCAGCATTGCAGATTGCAACTCATACTGCCTTTGTAGTCAGGGCTCTGCAGGCAGACATTAGTCAGGCTGCACAAATTCTTAGCTCAGATCCTAGTCATATGCACCAGGCACTTGGGATTCTGAGCAAAACATATGATGCAGCCTCATTTCTTTGTGAAGCTGCATTTGATGAAGTAAAGATGGCTGCCCATAGCATGGGATCTTCCACTTTAGGTCGCCGCTATCTCTGGCTAAAGGACTGTAAAATTAATCCAGCTTCAAAGAATAAGCTGGTGGTTACTCCCTTTAAAGGTGGAACATTATTTGGAGGAGAAGTACACAAAGTAACTAAAAAGCGTGGAAATAAACGCTAATAAAGTTAAGAATAAAGATACCTATTTGATCTTTGATACGGGGAACTTAGCTTCCCTAAGAATTTCAAGTGCTTTTATGCCAAAATTTTCTTTGAAAATCTTTTTTTTAGTCTCCAGGTTGGGCTATTTTCAAAGTCAAGCTTCTACCCTTCAAATTACAATATAAAAGTATTTGCTTACATAGAACTACCTTTTTTTATTTTTTCAGTTGCACAGATAGAAAAAGCCTGATACAAACAATTTAAAGATTTCTAGGTCACATTTTTGCCCCATACAGTTCATTCTCTCCTATTAAGATTTTACAGTTCTCCAAAACTAAGAAAATGCTAATAACTAGAATGTAAGTGGAGTCTTCACTGATTTAAGTTTTACTAAATATCTTTTCACTTTCTGGAACTTGTCTACTTTTTTTTTCTTTTATTCTTTTGTTTGTTTTTTACTTCTGTATTCCTTCATAATATTCTGGATCAATGAAATTCAAAGTGCCAGTCTACAGACAGTTATTGATCCACAGATAAGTATGCACCAGAATTTGGATCTAGAGACACTTTTTAGATCAATGACAGTGTTTATTTTTGTGGCAAAATTTTATTGATAAAACAGTGTGCCAGTTTACATTCTGGTACAAGTGTCTCATTTCTTCAAGGACTGGTAGCAAACAGTTCATGGACCACACCTTACAAAATACTTCTCTAAACCATATAATTCTGGAATAGCGCATTCTCATCACTGTAGTTTGTCAGATGAACTAGACACTGGAAAAGTGGGGCTTTTTTTTTTTTAATACTTTCAAGTTATGTTGTGGTTCATGGATGATTAGGTTTAACCTAAATTCTAAAAAGCAAATTTATTAGTTTTTTAAAAATTCATAAGAAATCATACTATATTCTTTTGTATAAAGCAGTATATTATTCTGTGTTTTCATTTCTATGATTGTAAGATGAGTCTAACTGTAGAGGCATTTAATCAAGTTTCTTTGTATTTTTATGGAAAATAGTAGTATTAAGTATCAGCAAAATACAGTCCCTTTGGTCCTCCTGGCCATTATTATATTCTTAGTATACATGTCCATCTTTGCAGGTTCCTGGGAGTAATTTTGTTATTTGTCTTCTGGAATGTACATGTATACATGTACCTACTAAGTGCTATGTGACTTTTTTTAAATGTATTACTGTAGAATGCTTCTGCAAATTCAATAAAGTTGTAATTTGAACAGTTTTGTGTGGTCTCCAGAAACCTGTTGTATGTGTGTTTTATTCTTGGAGTTGCAACAAGTTAGGTATTTGTGCATGAACATTCCTTTTCCGTTTCTTCAGTGAAACTTGCTTGAGATTCCAATGGTATAGTTGAAAATACTCTATTTATCGTTGTGTGGTTTTTCTTCTATTAAAGACCAGGTTTTTAGCTGTTGGAATTTAAATTTGAGAGGAATTAATCTATAACCAGATACTTTGTTTAATCAATTTCTGCTCAATTACTACTGGGTTCTTTACTTTGTGATTTCTCATTCTTAGATTTTGAGTTAATAAAACATAAGGTTTATAATGCTAAGGGTTGTCTCTTAATATATAAATATATCAATATCCATCCATTAATAGACATTTGGGGAGGTGTGGGGGTGGGGTTGATACCTTAATCCTAAGTAAAATTGAACTATTTGAACTAACATGGTAAAAATCACTGTTTGGGGGAAAATTGCAAGTAGACTCAGGACTGACTAGTACTAGACTAGTTAGCAAAACCTAACTGTCCTGACTACTTTTTCATCAAGTTCATGAAAAACTAAGCTTTTTAAGAATTGACTCCATTTCTATCTCTGGTAGGAAAGTAATCTAACTTAAATTTTTGGTAATAAATAAGTTTTAGTAGTCACAACAGACATTAATTTTGCTATCCTATGATTAATGGCCACAAAAATGTGGGAGTTAACTAAAACTTCTACAAGTCTTTAAAAATCTACTCTTTAGGGGCACCTGCCTGGCTCAGTTGGTAGAGCATGTGACTCTTGGGGTCATGAGTTCAAACCCCATGTTGGATGTAGAGATTAAAAAAAACTAGCTCTTCAAATGGTGATAAAAATCAAGGCTAGGAGAGTGGAATATTGAAGACTATAAAAAGATATATTTGAGTTGTTTGGCATCATGGTGATATGCTAATTAATATGTATGCACTAGCTTCTCTTTAAAGAAATGTTATTTTTATTATGGAGAGGAAGAACTCGAGAAATGACCTGTGAGTGTTATTTTCTGTAAACAGGATTCTTCCTCACCTCCTCAGTTGTACCCAGGTTTTTTTTATAATCACATTAAAACAGAAGTGAGGACTTTTATTTTATTTTTTTTCAGAAGTGAGGACTTTTAAATTGTACTAAAGTAGTAACATTTACTGCACTTACTTGTTATTAGAGGCTTGGTACCATACAGGTGTTTTCAGTCTTAAAATGCCTTATAGCTTTCTTTCTTCCATATTTCAAATTTTAATGACCAACTTTTGTTTATATAGTAGTAATGCACTGTATGGACAAAAGAATATTAACAACTATGTGTTTCAGTATCCTTTCCCCACATTCAAGTAGTTTTTTGTGAAAAGCCTCCATGGGCAGTTTGAATTCACTTTATGTTTTAGGCTATTAGTTCCAGAAAAAGGAAAGAATAGGAAGAAGCAGTGATCAGATAAAGGAGTTGGGGAGATAAACAAAAATGGAATAAAATAAGAATGGGAAAGTAAAGTTTTTAAAGACAGAAATTGCAGTTGAACAGTCATGGTCTGTTGAGGTAATAACCAATAGGCAAACTTGTTTTACATAAGAATGTGCCTAAAACCAAGGTTCCAGAGTAATGTTAGGATGACATTATAGTTTATTATGTATTTCAGAGAGTAATGTTTCTCCGATGTTATTTCCAGACTCTAAAATAGAGCTCAAGCTTGAGAAGAGAGAACCACTAAAGGGCAGAGCAAAGACTCCAGTAACACTCAAGCAAAGAAGAGTTGAACACAATCAGGTATCTTTAGTTTTATGATCACTGTGTTCAGGTATAAGTAATCTGACAACACTAATTTGCTTGTGTCCTAGCCTTTGGTTAAATTCCAGTGTACTCAATGAAGTGTTCATTCCACTGTTCATTAAATGGCATTAGAAATCTAAACTTCATGTTTTTTGTCAGTAGTATAGCCTGTGCTTACTGCAAAAGCAAGTGTTTAATAAATGTCTCATTTGTGTTTGATTCTGTGCAGAGCATGGTTCAGTCAGTCATACTTTTAAGGGAAATTTTTAAAGATGGAAATAAATGCCTACCTAAGCATAATTTTTTTTAAAGGACGGGAAGGATTTTATACTTACTAACTTTGTCTAGATTTCTAACTTTGCTTTTACTTTTGCTTGTCTTCTGTGACTTTTCCCTCAACTCCAAAGCTAGTCTGTTCCTAAGACCACACTTCACTTATCTGAGGTGAAAATTTATCTTTTTCATTGTGGGTGAGGCAGTATACAATTTTTCAAAAGGAAAATGTAGGAAACTAAGGGAGAACTAATAAGCACAGGTATAAATGAACTAATTTACAGAGAACAAATTATTGACTAATGTAGCATTGATTTGGCTGACCTTTACAAGATAGTTATCCCTGAAGTCGTTTTCCTTACCCTTATTTTGTCTAGCTGGAAAGATTTGTCTAGTTGGTTATTTATCTTTTCCATCTTCTCTGTCATTTTAAAGTCACACATCCTCAGAGAACTTCTTGATTTCTTAAGCCACGTCTGTTTTGGTTTGATGTACTTGATAAGTTGAATTTCAGAATTATTTGTTAGAAATAAACGTGGTGATTATGGAGAGTGTATAGAGCACTCAGTGAAAGATTTTGTTTAATATAGAACCAAATACTGGAATAAAGATATTATTGCCCTTTTATCTCGTATTACTAGGGAAGAGCTACAGGGTCATGCTGAAGAATAAGGAAATAATAGAGCAAGAGAAACTAGGAAAATCTGGTGAAGGACAATGAAATAGACAAGTATAGAGAATTTTAGTCTACAGTATGAAGGCAGGATGGTATAGTGCCATCAGGAATGCTGGACTGGTCAGATAACGGGTTAAAAGCCGGGATGAAGGATGGTATTAAAGATGGTTTAATTGAGTTGGGGAATCCAAACTGAGGGACAGGGTAAATAGTAGATTTAGGAGATGACGATGGCTTATATATACAAAATTTAAAACATCAAGAAAATCGGAGGGAAGAGCTTAATGACCCTTTAGTCACAGAGCCTCACAAGTTTTAAACATTTTACTAGTTTTGTTTCATCTTCACCTGTACCCTCCAGCTTTTTAAATTCCTTTTGGTTTTGTTATTTTGCTTTCTGCTGGAATATTTTAAAGCAAATCTCTGACATCATTTCACACATTAAAGTGTCAGTATTTCAGTATATATCTCTAAAAGATAGGAGCTATTTCATATATACATACATAATAACAGTGCTACTATCACACCTAATAAAATTAATTCTTTCATGTCTAATCTGTTTAAATTTCTCCAGTTTCAGAAATACCTCTTTTATGATTAAATTACTCAAATCAGGATCCAAGCAAGCTACACATACCGTTTGGTATTTTTTTTGTTTTGTTTTTATCTCATAAGCCTATAACTATCTCCACTGTAAGTTTCCCCTCCATTAATTTGGTGAAGAAACCAGGTCAGTTCTCTCCAGAATTTCCCAAACTCTGGATTTGGCAGATTGCTTCTGCAAGTGTCATTTAATCTCTTATTCTGTAACTCTGTACTTTGTGTAGACTGGAGTTAGACCTGTAGTAGAACTGGGTAGTAGACCTTTCTGTGATGATGGAAATGTTTTTTATATCTTCTGTCCATTGTGGTAGCCATTAGCCACATGTGGCTATTGAATACTTGGAATGTGGTTTGTGTGGTAGAGAAACTAAAATTTTAATGTTAAATTTAAATAGCCACATGTGGCTAACAGTTACCATATTGAACAGCATAGATTTAGAGGATTGGTTAGATTCAGGTTTAGTTTCTTTGACACGAATACTTCATAAATGGTGTTCTGGTTTTCATATTGCATCATTTCAGGAGGCAAATGATGCTAATTCCACATCACCCTTTTCATTTAATGGTTACAACTGCCATTTATGATTATTGCCTAGATCCACTATTTTGTTTGAGGTTGTAAGGTAGTGATTTTTCTCATTCTCTTACTCCATTACATCTATAACTGGAATTCTTTTTAAATAACTTTTCCCTCATGATCTGCATAGTTATCTTCAAATAAAATTCACAGAGGAGAGCCAGCATAATTTGCCAACTTTCAAATTAAAGCCTAGTCATTTTGAAAGGTGATCAATAAAATTTTTTTTAACTCCAAAAATAGTAATGGTTTTTATACATTTCATTTATGACCAGTTACACTCATCATTCTTTTTCCATGTTCAAATTGTGCCATCTTTAGCCATTGGGTTCCTGTGTCATTCTGTGTCAGTTCCTGTGTTGTTTTATTGACCCTGTTTGTTTTTGATAGTTTCTTGTTTTCTGCCACAGTAAGATGTCCCAGCCTCGTGTATATTGCCTGCCTTTTACCAAATCAGCCATTTTTCCAAAGAACCCTAATCCTTTCCATTTAAAATATTTGGGGTGCTAGGTTGTTCATTTCTGCTGGGTTGTCATTGCTTCTAGGCTTTTTACTAGGTAGAGCTAGGAGTACTTATTTTTTAGAAAGAGAAAATAAATCATGAGTTCATCAAAATTATGAATGCAAGCTATCTAACTTCTGGGTGTTCTCCCTATATCTCTTATGCTGAGTATCTTGGTTCTTAAAATGTGATTTATGTAGTTATCACTATATAGATGTTTCTAAATACAGTACTCCTGATCATAACGCTGCTAAATGGCAGTTTTGGGGTTTTTTTGCAGTTTTTCTTGTCTTTTGAGCATAAAATCAAAATACTGTGCATAAAATTACTTGAATGAATTTTTTTCTTTCCTATTTTTTAATTATTGAGAATATATAGTTTTCTTTAGGCAAAATAAGATGGAATCTGAAATCTGGCTTTTATCTTTGTTCCTTCCATTTATAGGTAACTGTTTCTATTAAGTTTGGGTTAATATTTTCTTTTTGAAAACAATAAGTAAATACATAGGTTTATACACTTATTTTTACTTCCCTCCTTACATAAAAGGCAGTAAACTTGCACATTTCTACCTTTCTGGTAATCAAAACATGGAGGTCACTCCTAATCAGAACACAGTATAGCCATCTTCCTCATTGCTCTGTACCACTGCATGTCATTGCATTTTATGGATGTACTGTATTTTATTCAGCCACTTTCCTTTGGTGGATATTTGGATTATTTTCAGTTATACTGTTTAGGTAATGCAAAGATGAACTGATGAACAGCCTTTGACATGTATCATTTCATATTTTAGCCGATTTATCTTGGGGAAATCTAGAATTGAAATTACTGGGTAATTTTGCTAGATGTTATCAAATCCCCTGCATAAGAGCTGAAGCATTTTGCATTCCCACCAGCAATGTATGAGAGTACCTTTCTCTAATAGAGGGATGGGACACTGTTTGAACAAGTTAATATGAGTTAACCAGATTACTAAATTGGTAGTTCTTCAGAGTAAAGTGGCTTTTAATTATACTATTTCTTTTTATAACTTAGATTTATGTAAACTTTTTGTTGAGAGCTTGTATTTTTACTGAGAGATCTATAGCCTCCTTTAATAGCCCAGCTCCTGCAATCTCTTGTGCCTCAACTGCCTACTGTCTTTTTTGCCTGATAGCTTATTGAAAGGCAACGTGAGAGGGTTTCTGTTTCTTTCTCCTGTTGGCTTCCTGATAAATTAAGAGGAGTTGCTGCAGAACATCTTGTTGAAAGTAGATGACGCTGCAATTAGTATTTGGACAAAGAGTATATAGCAATCACATTAACTGCTAATTTTACATAGCCGTGAATTTCTTCTCAATCATTAATTTTCACTTGTTTATAGTGGACTCTGGTAGAAAAACTTCAGAATATCTTTTCTGGTGTGTGAAGAGTTGTCAATTTTCTGTGAAGGTGATTAATTCTGAATTAGATAATAGTAGTGAAAGAACTAATAAAACTAGTTGACAGTCCTCAACCAAAGAATTTAATAAACCTGGACAAAAGGAAGTATAAATGATTTATAGTGAAAAGTTTCTTTCCCGCCCCTTGCCAGCTGTTCTCACAGGCAACCAGTGGGTTTCTTGTGTTTCCTTCTGTAGAAAAAAATAAAAGAATCTTTAAATGGAACTTGACCTTAATGTCAGCGATGACTAATAGAAATGTAAACGTTATTTTTTTTTATTAACCATAATAGTTTCAGTAGATGTTGGTAAAATTTTTGATGAAAAGATTATTTCAGTTCAAAATATAACATGGAAAATCCTGGAATTTGGTAGATAAGGAAGAGCGATATTTCCCCTCACCCCCACATTCATGGACAAAGATAAAATATCTGGTCTTTATATTTTATCAGTTTTATTAGCCTTTTCAAGAAATATAGGGGTGCCTAGGTGGCTCAGCCGGTTAAGCATCTGCCTTCAGCTCTGGTCATGATCCCAGGTTCCTGGGATCAAGCCCCTTATTGGGCTCCCTTCTTAGTGGGGAGCCTGCTTCCCCCCTCCCTCTCCCTCTGCCACTCCCCCTACTTGTGCTCTATCTCTTGCTGTCGTTCTTGCAAATAAATAAAATCTTAAAAAAAAAAAAAGATGTAGTGTTTTAGGGTCACCTGGGTGGCTCAGTTGGTTGGGCATCTGTCTTCAGCTCAGGTCATGATACCAGGGTCTTCCTCAGCGGGGAGTCTGCATCTACCTCTCCCTCTGCCCCTCCACCCACTTGTGCACGCACGCTCATGCACTCTCAAATAAATAAAATCTTCTAAAAAAAAGAAATGAAGTTTTTAATTCTTTGAAGAGTTTTAAAATACTTAGTATATGCTGATTATACCAGATAGACTGTCAAACCAGAATATTTTTAAAATATAGCTTCTAATTAATTTTACTGGCACTGAGCAACAATTGACTATGAAAGAGGAAGCAGAATTGAAAGTAATTATAAGAAAATACTTGACTTTGAGATGCATCACAGTTCAGTTACAATATCTTAAAGCATGTGTTCTCAACACTGGCTGCACATCAGAATCCCCTCAGGAGTTGTAAAAATTAACTATGCCCAAGGCCCTTCTAGAAGAGATTCTGACTTAATTGGACCAAGGTAGGGTTGGGGGCATTTGATACGTCTCAGAAGCACCCCAGTTGATATTGTGCTGCCAGGATTGAGAACCTCAGGTTAAAACTATTACTCCTTTCTATTCAAACAATCAGGAATTTAACTATTAATGAGCATTTATCATATTTGTATGTAACTTAACAGATTTGACTGACCTTAAATTTGCATTCAGCAAATATTTCCTAATTGATAGCAGGAAAAGGAACCCAGAGTTTCCAATTGCAAGTTAAAGAGAAACTCTTATAATGTTAATCCCAAATATAGATAGATGCGAAATTAGCTAGGAGAATATGTTTGTATCTTGTGGGATTCTGGAGTAATGTTTCCAGTGAAATAAGCATTCTTATTGGATAAGCACTCTTGTCCCAGGATAAGAGTAAAATACATCTGTCTTTAAAATTAATAGGCACTCACTTGAATACAAAAACATCAGTTATTTAGATAAATTATTAGCTTGAAAGCAGAAGTGACAGTATAAGCACACTCTAGTATAATACTAATCACTGGTGGATGTTCTCTGGTTAATTTATCTGGTAATAGCTTCAGAGTTGAATAACTTGCTTCTTGGAATGCAGAATCTCAGGCCCTACCCAAGAGCTGCTGAATCATAATCTGCACTTTAACAAAAGCTCCAGGTGATTGATATGCATATTGTAGTTTGAGAAGTACAAGTCTAGTGGTTTTCAAACTATTATGTAAGGACTACTGAATTATTTTTGAAATGAAAAATTGGTTGCCTTTTCAGGGAGATAGGAATCTGGAAGATACCAGTGACCCATCACTATTGGTATCTTTCTGTAGTGAGGAGTGGGTAAGCATTGGGTTTGGCATTGACGTTTTAGGCTTGCCAGTTTGTGAAAGAGGTGACCACCAGGTTTTTGTTGCTCAATGTTAATATCTGTTTCTAAGAAAAGGTTTGACACCTGAGAACTTTTAAGTTCAGATAGCTGTGTGTAGATTATAATTTAAACTGAACCTATTTAAATAATCCTAACTACTTGAAAAAGATAACATTTAATTTGTGCTAACAATTACAAAATTTTATTTTGTTTTTAAAGGAAACTGCCTTGTTATAATAAATGACTTTTTTATAAGTCATGATCAGCCTGCTTTTTGTTTAGAAAGCCAAAGAGATGCAGTTGTGATACGAGAGCCAAATAGCAAACAGCAAGTCACAGAAGGAGCTGGTGATAAATTATGTGCTTTTTTTCTTCTTGCTTTTATTACAATTTGTGAGCTCCTCTGTATTTTACTATAGTTTAAGTATTTTCCAATGCCTGCATATTGGTTCAGTCAATACATTTAGAAATACTTTGAGGGCATGGCATTGTTTGCAAATGCTGGCATTTGGAGATTTTTCATGACTTCTCAGTGTGGTAGCTAATGGCCATCATTAAGGTGTTTGATGTTAGAATATGACTTTTTTAATGTGTCGATGCTTGAATAGAGCTATTCTCAAGCTGGAATAACTGAGACTGAATGGACAAGTGGATCTTCAAAAGGCGGACCTCTGCAGGCATTAACTAGGGAATCCACAAGAGGGTCAAGAAGAACTCCAAGGAAAAGGGTGATGCAAGGCTTATTGCTTAGAATTGGGTTTTCAGATTGGTAGGGTTTTAGTGATTATTTTATATTTATTGTTTTTGTTTTGTTTTCAAACTAACAGGTGGAAACTTCAGAACATTTTCGTATAGATGGTGCAATAATTTCAGAGAGTACTCCCATAGCTGAAACTATAATGGCTTCAAGCAACGAAACCTTAGTAAATATGTTTCATAAACTATACAAGTGGTATTCTTTGTAAATTACCCTTTAATTAGAATTGGGGAGGTGGTAAATTTTGGCAAATCTCAAACTTGTGTTTTAAACAATTATATTTTAAACTCATTTCCCCATATAATTCTGAATTTTAGAATTTTTCAGTATAGCCAAGTTTTATATATATATATATATAAATTTGTACAAGAATCCTACCTCTAAATATTATAAGGAAACTTTTTTGCTAAAATATTTAGAGTGCTAAGGCTTCACGTGAGAAGCACTGAATATGTTCATTTCTAGGTTCTTTTGCCTAAATTTTTATTAAGGGAAGTTTTCAAATATTACAGAAATAGAGTATCTTTTTTTCTTTTTACATGTCTTTGCTATGTTTGGATAATTCTGAGTCTGAATAATTTGAATCTTGGCAGGTTGTCAATAGGGTGACTGGAAATTTCAAGCATGCAGCTCCTATTCTGCCAATCACTGAATTCTCAGACATACCCAGAAGAACACCAAAGAAACCATTGACAAGAGCTGAAGTAAATGCATAAAATTTAGATCGATGCTATCATTGATCTTTTAAAGAGGAAATTTTTTATATTTGTTTTTTGCAGTGGGAGGGAGCAGAACTTTCTTAACTGGGTGGGGTGTGTTTGTGTGTGTGTGTGTGTGTATCTATTATTTTAAAGACATGCTTTTATTAGTGACAATCAAAAAAAAAGTAATATAGTATGATATGCTAATACTATCTGCTTGCTACTGTGTGCCTCTTAAGTTCCACTTTTCAAGGGAGTATTCATTTGTGTGCTGCTTCTAATATGTTCTCTTATTGATGTGGGTTGAAAGTGTTACTGGGCTGTTGGGAAGGCTATACTGTCTTTCACCGAAAGGTCAAATAATGGGACTTTAATGGGACTTTGTATGATGCTTGAATTGATTAACTCCTGTATAATTAAGCTTTAAAGTACTAACTGCATGATACATTTAATGAATTTTCACCAAAGGTGGTTTTGATCTGGGCATAACAATAAACAGCAAAACAATCAGGTTGTTTAAAAAATCATTTTATGGTTTTTTTAAGTTAGGAAGATTGAATTGACTCTGTAGTTAAAAGATACACTAAAATTTGTTAAAGATCCATGTAAATTTGATATCTTCCACATTTCATTTATTTTATCACAAAATTCTCAACAGAAGAAACAGGGTACTCTTAATATTAATGAAAAGCATGGGAAAATCCAGTGGGGGAACTTAATACTGCCATATTAGCTGTGCTGAATTTTAGTTTTGTGGGGTTTTGTTTTTTTTTAACTTGCTTGAATGTGTGGCAATCCCCCATTACCACATTAACATATCTCCATATTGAAGAAATTTGAAGAGAGCTTTGGAAGTATATGGATACTTAGGTAATGAGGAATTCAGGAAGGGCAGTGGTAAAAGCTGGGGCAGTTTTGAATGCACTCTGTTCTCTGAAAGCTTTTTTTTTTTAAAAAAAATAAAACAAATTATGTTTTAATTACACATTTATACTAAATGTTAACTTGTGGTTGTTTGTTTCTTATTAGGTGGGAGAAAAAACAGAGGAAAGAAGAATAGAAAGGGATATTCTTAAGGAAATGTTTCCCTTTGAAGCATCTACACCAACAGGAATTAGGTATTCAGATACATTAAAACAAGAATTAGTGTATTCTACTAGTGTGTTTTTATTTATTTACTTATTCCCACTTTTATTAAGGTGTAATTGACACATAAAAATTGTATATATTTAGGATGTACAACATGATTATTTAATATGCATATATAGGAATTTTAACTTTTAATTCTTCACACGGTTATTGTACCTGTGTTCTCAGAATTAAACTGTTCTTTTGAGAGCAATTTAATTCTTCTAAGTCACTAGTTCATGTTCTTAAAAGTTGAGTTAGATTCAGTATGATAAGCTGAAGTATTAAATAATTTGCTTACCATCTAATTCTTTTCTCTAAACAAAAACATAGTAAGAAGGAAATACTTGATTTCCCTGAAGGTTTCCCTTTTCTAATCAAAAGGACTGTTTAGATAAGAGCTGAATTGTTTTCTGACTGAAAGAATCACAACCAAACTACCTTATTTTTTCCCTCTTATCTCCTAAATATATTGGCCCTGAAAAGACAAGTTTAGTGAATATTTATCAGTGTTCTGATTATTATTTTCTAATAGAACGAGCATCCAACATTTTAAATGAAAAATGTATAGAGATTTTAAATAGGCTATTTACATGTGACAATTTTCTATTATCTCAAGGAGTGTGTTTGAAATTAAGAGTGGAAATGACATTTTATATTCTATATATCGAAATCATGACTTTTATCTAAATTTATTTTTTTCTTCCTGTTTTCACTCCCAACAGTGCTAGTTGCCGCAGACCAATCAAAGGGGCTGCAGGCCGGCCATTAGAACTCAGTGATTTCAGGATGGAGGAATCTTTTTCATCTAAATATATTCCTAAGTATGTTCCCTTGGCAGATGTCAAGTCAGAAAAGACAAAAAAGGGACGTTCTATTCCCACGTGGATAAAAATTTTGCTGTTTGTTGTTGTGGCCATTTTTTTGTTTTTGGTCTATCAAGCTATGGAAACCAACCAAGGAAATCCATTCACTCAATTTTTTTCTAATGACTCTGAAAAATCCATCTGAATGATATCTCTTTTGGCACACTCAATTTGGTCTCCTATTTTTTCTAATAACTGTATAAACATTTGTGTACACTTGACTCGAGAACTAAAAATAATGTGATTTCACCTCAATAAATGTAATATTCCATTGAAAAGCAAACAGGATATATAAATGGACTTCATTTAAATGTTTTGGACTTTGGACTAGTAGGAGATCACTTCGTGCCATATGAATAATCTTTTTTAGCTCTGGAACTTTTTTGTAGGCTTTATTTTTTTAATGTGGACATCTTATTTCACTTTTGAGAAAAATGTATATTGTTTTTGTGTATTTGGGAAACAAGAAGGGCAAAACATGGTAGTATAATGTGAAGCTACACATTAAATACTTTGAATTCTTACAGAAAAGATTTTAAGAATTATTCTCTGCTGTATAAAAACTTATAGAGATATGTGAAACATGAAATTTGGTAAGAAAAAGGGTAACTTGAGTTGTACTTTTTGTAACTGCCACAGGTTTGATGTGTTTATGGAGGAACATACAGCAATAATCTCTTCTGTAACTTTTATTAATAGTAATATTATTGTAGTCCTATTGTACTCACTTTTTAAAAGATTTCTAGTATCATGAATGTCCTACTTCAGTAAGACCCATTTAAATGCTGTTGATATTTTAGCAGGGATCTCTAGTGCAGCATATACGTGTTTTAGAGAATTGTTAGCTGGCTGTACATGTTTTTAGAAACTGTTTAGCTAGCTATAAGGCTGTAATTGGAAACTTGTACTTTTTATTTACAGCAAAACACTTATTCTGTCAATCCAATTTGCTACCAAAATATTTTTTAGATAAATAAGTGTGTGTCTGTTTAGAAGTTAGAAACTTTAACCACTGGTCTGAGGTTCCATTTGGATTCATTTTTGCATTGTCTTCTGTTACCAAAAACAAAATTTGCCAGGTTTTTTTTGCCCTACATTTTCCAACAGAATTTGATTAAAAGTACAAAAAGTGTTTACTTTAAAACTACATAGTAAACTTTTCTTAGATACAAAGTAGTTAATACATAAATTTATAAACTCTGAATATGGAGTGGGCATTATGATTTTTGTATACTCTTGAAATGGTTAACTTATCTTTGTGGTTGATTTATCTTATTTTTTAGCTAAAACTTACCTCATGTATAACTTGGTTAAGTAAAGTAGTAGGTAATTGAAATTTTAGTAGAATCAAGTAAAACAAATTTAAACTTATTCATTTGAATTTCAACTTTACAGTCCATTGACCATAAAGCACACTAAAAATATAAGTTATTTTAAATACCATCTGAAATAAAAAGATACTTTTTAAAAAGCAAAAAGCTTAATATGTATATTTAGACCAGCACACAATTTTGATTTCATTAGCTGTATTCTGATGTTTAGCTTTGAAATATTTTGTAGACAGTTTTCACTTTGCAATTGATCAGAAACTTTTGTAGGTCTGGTCCCATGGGGGAGTGGGAAACTTACTCCTAGATCAGAAATGCTTGCCTCTCTGAGTAAAAGTGTTTCTTTGAGATGAGCCACAGAGGGGGCACGTTTTACTCTTTTCTGCAGTACAGTAATAGCAGTCTTTTTCCTTGTTTCTAAACTTTGCTTCCTATATAGTTTTCAGTCTTTTCTTTTTGCTTAGAAATTGTGAGAAGCTGCATTTAATGTTTAAAAATATGGGAAAATAAATTGAACTTATATGTATGTAAGATCAATTTTTCTAATAGAAAGGTATGGTCCAAGATAGTAAAAGAAGGACCAGGTAAAACATGTAGTCTTTTTTTTTTTCTTTTAATATGTACTTGGTCTTTTGTCTGTGTCTGTTTTATTCCACTAGAATAAATGTGTCCTTGATGTAAATGCAAAGCATTTCTTCCTGATTAAATTGTAGATGTAGACTTTACAATATAATTCAATAATAAAAATGTAATTAACCTCTAGTTTTGTCATTGTAATAAATGCTTTTCAGATAGCACAAACTATAAGATACCTGATAACGTTCCTTAGGTGATTTTTATGGATAGATGAGTTTTAATTCTCATTTCAGTCTACTCTTTTATGTTTTGCTTCTAATCATTTCATGATCAGCTCCTTATTTGTTCATGGATAAGCAGTGTATGGCCATTATACTCACAATCTTAGAGGGAAGCTTTCAAAGGCACCTCTCCCACTACAATACAGTAATATAGTACAATATAATATACTTTTTTCAGTCTCCCTTTCCTTTTTCTCTCCCATTTGTACTGTCTTAGTATTTATCTCTGACACTCATTGTTAATTAGTCTTGCTTTGAGATTAAGCAAAGATGTTGCCAAGGTATATTATCATGGAGCTGTGTTCATAAGATGAAAGTGCTTTTCTCTCCATCATTCATGTGTTCCCCAAAGTTGAGTTTATTTAAATTAGTGATTCTTAAAGTAATATATATCCTATAATTAATTAGAAAGCACATAGCACCAAAGACTTAACCATGCTTATTGCATGCTTCCCATGTGCTAGATACTGCTTTATACCCTTGACATGTATTGACTTACTTAATCCTTGTGATAATCCTATGAAGTAGGTATTTTCTTACTGTCTCATTACAAATGAGGAAATTAATGCTCAGAGGGGTTAAGAAAGTTGTTCCCACAGCTGGGAAATGGTGGGTCTGGTTACATATGTATGATACGGCTGAAGGGACATGAAAGACCAACATCCCACAAATACACTCTGTACCCATTTTCTTGTTCAGCCTTGCTTCCACAGTATTGGTTCCTCTAAGTTCCAGATTTCATTAGGGGTTCTTTAAGATCCATTTCTAGTTTTAATCTTTCTCTGTAGCCATTTAAGTTTCTTATTTTTAATAAATTTGACATAATACATTGTATAAATTTAATGTGTACATGTTACTTTGATACATTTATTTATTGTGATGTGATTGCTGTTGTAGCGATTTATCACATTATATAATTATGGTGTAATGTTGTTTATACTAAAGACCATTCTTCATAAATAATGGGATCTCTGTTCAAAGTCCAAATTTTGCTGGAAGTTATTTTTAGTTTGGCATCATAATCATAGTACATTAAAATACATTGATCAGTATCACCCTATCCTATCATGAATTATATACCAGCTTTAAATGCATAAATACTATCACTTTTTCTCCTTAAATTTTTTTTTTTAAACAAAAGTTTTTTTTAAGATTTTATTTATTTGTCAGAGAGAGCGCAGAACCAGGGGGAGCAGGAGAGGGAGAAGCAGGCTCCCTGCTGCACAAGGAGCTCGATGCGGGACTCGATCCCAGGATCCTGGGATCATGACCTGAGCTGAAGGCAGATACTTAACCGACTGAGCCACCCAGGCGTCCCTGTCCTTAAATTTAAAATGATAATTTCAGGGGTGCCTTGCTGGTTCACTCAGTGGAACATGTGACTCTTGATATTGGGGCTGTGAATTAGATCCCCACATTGGGTGTAGAGATTACTATAAATAAATAAACCTTAAAAAAATAAACAGATTTCAAAATAACTTGTGATTATATTAATTTCCTTAAATATGTTATTTTCTGATTTATATCTTGTGCACCCTATTTTTTCCTCTTTTTTTTTTTTAAAGATTTATTTATCATGAGAGAGAGAGCACATGAGAGGGGGGAGGGCCAGAGGGAGAAGCAGGTTCCCCGCCGAGCAGGGAGCCTGATGCGGGACTCGATCCCGAGACTCCAGGATCATGACCTGAGCCAAAGGCAGTCGCTTAACCAACTGAGCCACCCAGGTGCCTTATTTTTTCCTCTTTAAGTTTCATTTTTTTTAAATTCCAATATAGTTAATGTACAGTGTTACATTAGTTTCAGGTGTACAATATGGTGATTCAACAATTCTATACATTACTCAGTGCTCATTAAGATAAGTGTACTGTAAATCCCTTTCATCTGTTTCACCCATCTCCCACCCACCTCCCCTCTGGGAACCATCTGTTCTCCATAGTTAAGAGTCTATTTTTTGGTTTGTCTTTTCTTTGTTCACTTTTTTTTTCTTAAATTCCACATATAAATGAAATCATATGGTGTTTGTCTTTTTTTTTTTTTTTAAATAGGCTCCACACCTAGCATAGAGCCCTCAAATTCACAACCGTGAGACCCAGACCTGAGCGGAGATCAAGAGTCAGACATCTAGCCGGCTGAGCCACCCAGGCACCCACATGTAGTATTTGTCTTTGATTGGCTTTTTTTTTTTTTTAAGATTTTTATTTATTCATTTGACACACGGAGCACAAGTAGAGGAGTGGGAGAAGCAGGCTTCCTGCGGAGCAGAGAGCCCAATGCGGGGCTCCATCCCAGGACCCTGGGATCAGTACCCAAGCCATAGGCAGACGCTTAACTGACTGAGCCACTCGGGTGCCCCGCTGATTGACTTATTTCACTTAGCGTTATACTCTCTAGATCCATCCATATTGTTGCAAATAGCAAGATTTCATTCTTTCCTATAACTGAATAATATTCCATTGTGTATATGTATATACCACATCTTTTATCCATTCATCTATCAACAGACACTTGGATTGTTTCCATAATTTGACTGTTGTAAGGAATGCTTCAATAAACACAGGGGTGCATATATCCTTTCAAATTAGTGTTTTCATATCTTTGGGTAAATACCCAGTAGTGGAATTACTGGATCATAGTGTAGTTCTATTTTTAATTTTTGGAGGAATTTCCATACTGTTCTCCACAGTGCCTATACCAGTTGCATTCCAACCAACAGTGCATGAGGGTTCTTTTTTCTCCAAATCCTTGCCAATACTTCTTGAGTTTTTTATTTTAGCCATTCTGGCAGGTGTGAGGTGATACCTCATTGTGGTTTTGATTTGCATTTCCCTGATGATGAGTGATGTTGAGCATCTTCATGCATCTGTTGGCTATCTGTAGGTCTCCTGTGGAGAGATGTCTGTTCATGTCTTCTGCCCATTTTTATTTTTTATTTATTTATTTTTGGTGTATAGTTGGCATAAGTTCTTTATATATTTTGGATACTAACCCTTTATTGGATATGTCATTTGCAAATATCTTCTCCCATTCAGTAGGTTGTCTTTTGTTGATTGTTTCCTTTGCTATGCAGAAGCTTTTTTTTTTTTTTAATGTACTCCCAATAGTTTATTTTTGCTTTTGTTTCCCCTTCCTCAGGAGATACTCTAGAAAAAATTGTTGCTATGGCTAATGTCAGAGAAATTACTGCCTGTGCTCTCTTCTAGGATTTTTATGGTTTCAGGTCTCACATTTAGGTCCTTAATCCATTTTGAGTTTATTTTGTGTACAGTGTAAGAAAGTGTTCCACTTTTATTCTTTTCTGTGTTACTATCCAGTTTTCCCAGCACCATTTGTTGAAGAGACTGTCTTTTTCCCATTGCATATTCTTACCTTTTTTGTTGAGGATTTTCTGTTCTTAATCTGTTTTCCATCTTCATACTGTTTTTTGAAATACATTGTCTTTTTTTTTTTTTTTTAAAGATTTTATTTATTTGACAGGGAACACAAGCAGGAGGAGTGGGAGAGGGAGAAGCAGGCTTCCCGCTGAGCAGGGAGCTGGATGCAGGGCTCGATCCCAGGACCCTGGGATCATGACCAGAGCCGAAGGCAGACACTTAACGACTGAGCCAGACGGGTGCCCCGAAATACATTGTCTTTGACATCTCACTTCTCTCCCATTCTGTCATTGTGGTAAACATTTTTAATTTCCCTTTTCAGTACTAGAGTCTCAACAGGAAGAGGCTGTGTGGTCAGGCTGTCACCTTGAATTAGCAGTCACTGACTGCTTTTCAGAATTCATATAGCATCCTCCCACCAAAGATTTGGGAAGGAAGTAGAGGAGACCCCAAGACTTGAGTGCAGGGTGACTCCAACAGATTGATTCCACTGTGTTCTGGTAGAGAATCATTAGTTTAGCTGACATTTGATGGCATTTATGCTATATTCACAGTGTATTGAAATTGATGGCTT